CCACAGAGAGTCAGGACCTCGGTTTAACGTCTCATCCGAAAGACGGTGCTTTTTGACTGTATAGTGTCCCCGTCACTATACTGGGGCATTAAGACCCACACAGACCACAGGGTGATCACACCCTCTGCTGGCCTCACTAACACCTCTTCCAACAGCAACCTAGTTTTCCCAGGAGGTCTCCCATCCAGGTACTGACCAGGCTCAACCCTGCTTAGCTTCAGTGAGCAACCAGTCTTGGGCTGCAGGGTGATATGGCTGTGGCTATATATATAATTAATATCAATATTCATATTTTATAAAAATTACATTATATCATTAGAAAAATAATGCATACATTACATTATATCACACGCATATATACATATATTGCAATTTATAATATTATATATAATATAACTATAATAATATATAAATATACTATATATATACGTTAAAACATAATAATAATTTATAATAATACATAAATGTATATGTTGTATCATCAATACATCACATTAAAGAGCAATAAGAAATGTAGGTAAATAGTGAAATTATATTTCTATCTGTCCTCTAGTCCAGTAGATGTCGTTTAATCATACGGAAACACAGCAGATTCGCCGAAGAAGACTCAGCACCGGAAGTGAGGCTAAACTTTGCTCCACACAGCGGAAAACAGCTGTTGTTTAGAAACAGGAAAACGTAGGTAAGTTCGGCACTGCACTTTATTACTGCTGTTTGTTTGTCTACCTGTCATAATAGTTATATGTAAGTCTTATTGACTTATTTGTAATATTTCATCGACAGTAGTGTGAACGTCGCTGGCTGTATAAGGAGGCAGCTAACGGAGTTAGCCAGCTCTGCTAACTTTCTTCTCGACGTCAGACTGATGAGACCGTTGAAAAATGTCATTCATTTATTTAACGCTTTTTATATAATGTTTGAATTGTTATACACTGGAAATGAGAATAAATGACTCATTTTCACTTCATACTTGTCATCTTTGGAGAAGCAGAGACTCTGATCTGAGCTGTTGACATGTCGATGTGTGTTTAAAAATTAAGATTATATGATTTATGTTGCGTTATTTTAATACACTACGAATAGAGATAATAGTGTTGTTGTTATTACATATTGTAGGAGCGTTTGTTGTAAGTTAAATGTCAGTGAATTGCCTCAGCTGTCACTTAAGAAATGGATGACAGCTGATTATCTTCTGTTTACTATTATATTAATCTTATTTCTTTTAATCTTGTTTTTGTTTCTTTCTGCAAGAGTTTTATATTTAATTTTAATATTTACTCTTACTTATATAGATTTTACACAAAGGTTTGTTTTGAAGCAAACACCTCCTTACATACTTAATCACATATTAATCACACTGAAATTATTGGTTCTGTACTTGCATGTAACTTGCTCTGTCATTTCTCCCTAGGATGCCTGGGCAGAAAAGAAAGATGTCTTCTTCTGAACCGGAAGCTAAGAAATCAAAGATCGATCAGAGTCTCGTGGAGTCAGATAAAACTCAGATGCCCAAGAAGTCTTTGAGAGGAAGACCTCCAAAAAACAAAGCTTTAGAAACTCAGTCGTCTAAGCAGAAACAACAAGCACAGCCGAGGGAAGAAAACGGAAAACCTGTTCGACGGTCGTCTCGCTTGAAAGCGCCACAAAAGAAGGGCTTAAGAGGAAGACGGCGGAAAGATGAGGGGAAGCCGAAAACTTCTGGAGATAAACCATCTCAAAATATGTCTGTCTTGAAAAAAGGAAACAAGAAGTATGTTCCAAGAGTAAAGAAAGAAAAGCCCTCCATCTCCGAAACTATTAAAACAGTCGCAGCCTTGTTTCCTGTGCAAATAGAGCACAATTACGGGCGATTGCTTGACATTCAAAGTGAGGAGATCACGTTACCCAAACCTGACAAAATCCACGTGGCCAATATAAGCGATCTGCAGTCGCTTCACGAACCACGAGTGAGCAAAGTAGAGGAGCATAAGGAGCTTCCGACAGACCCTATTGAGAAAATCACAGTGAGTGTGGATGCAAAAGTAGATGTGATGAGCAAATCTTCTCCACCACTAGAGGCTCTTTTCAAAGTCATCCAAGAAACTAGCATCCCTAAACACTCGTTTGCTGGTAAAGACATTTCTGACATGGATGAGTTAGAAGTAGTGAACACGTGTTCCCTGCAGGACAGCGTACAAAGTACCGACGTGGCGAAAGTGTTTCTCCCGGATTCAGAAGCATTTCTGGTTGATGATATTGAGATTGAACATTGTGTGGTGGAGATCGAAACCTATGAGGATTTGGAGCAATCAGAGGATGAAACGGTGAAAAAACAAACAGGTGAAGCTGTGACGTGTAAGGAGGTCACTTCCTCACCCTCTTTGCCCCAGGACAGTGCGACGGACTCCACGCTAGGGCTTCCTAAAAAGCAGGAGATGAACCCACAGGCTCGGACGAAGGCACGTCTAGCGGCTTTGGCCGAAGAAAGGGCGGCTGCCGCCAAGAAACCTCCACCTCGGCAGTTCAACCTCCTTGCTCTCTGTGAGGAAATTGCAGATGATATTGCATCGGATGCTCCGGCAGCTTCAGATGAGACAAATATTGATGAACTAAAGGAGGTGAGTGAATCTACGGAGGTTTGCGAAACTGAAAAAGAGGTGTCTGAAAACGCAACTCCCCCTGAAACCCCTAGTGACATGACTGACGATCCCAGACCTGAGGATGGTACGCCCAAGAAACGTTTTTTCCTCAGCCAGGTGTCTTTGCCGCTCAAGACCCAGGAGAAGAAGAAACTATCCCGCTTTCAGAGGCTCAGGCAGGTGGAGCTTCAGCGGGATAAGTTGACCTGGACCCGTGTTAAGAAGCTAAAGTCGGATCAAGCGAGTCAGGCTGGTTCTCCCAAGGAGACCGACGCTCCATCAGTCTCGCCCAGCCCGGCCATCACCCCTGCACAGGTTCCCGTGCCGGAAAGCGTGCCCAAAGTGGGCTCGAATGAACCCAGGCGAGCACTTCCGGCTCAGGCGCCACCCATGCCTAATGGAATCACCAGCCCCAAACCCAAACCAGTGATGGAATATAAAGCCTACACTCCCAGACGCAAGTATTCACCAGATGACTTTGAGCTCGATGGTCTTGAAGAGGAGACGACCAAACCAGGAGCACCCAAAAATGAGGTGAAACCACACCCATATACACTACCGTTCACATTTTTACAGATTTTAATGCAATTATTTATGAAGAAATACAAATCAATAAAATGTGTATTATAATGCACTCAGTTATGATGCTTAAAAAATACTTTTAAAATACCTTACATTACACAAAATATTTAAAGATTTCGGGTCAGTAAGATTTTTAAGAAAATCATACTTGCATTTAGCAGGGATGCATTCACTAATAACTTTACAAAAGATATTTATTTCAAATAAATGCTGTTCTTTTGAAATTTATATTCATCAAAGAATCCAGATTTTTTTTTATATCTGTTTACACAAAAATATTAAGCAGCACAACTGTTTTCAGCATTGATATTAATAAGCAATGTTTCTTGAGCAGCATATTAGAATGATTTCTGAAGGATCGTGTGACACTGAAGACTGGAGTAATGATGCTGAAAATTCAGCTTTGCATCACAGGAATAAATTACATTTTAAAATATATTCAAATAGAAAACAATTATTTTAAATTGTAATAATATTTCACAATATTTACTGTATTTTTGATCAAATAAATGCAGCCTTGGTGAGCATAAGAGGCTTCTTTA